GTTCAGAATGCTGCCTCACTATGAAGATACCTTTTTTAAAATAGATGAAAGCTTAGACCAGGTTGGCGAAGTAGGTAGGTGGTCCGAATATTCATTAAACTATCCAAAAAAACTTCATTTATTTAAATTAAATTAGGGTAGCTCCCAACTTGTTCCGTTAAAACCAGCTTTAAAATGTATAAAATAAGTTAGTTAATAATTTGAGCAGGCAGGTGAGATTCAAACCGTCGGAAATGTACCTTAAATTGGGTATTCTATTCTAAATGTTTTATGAAAAGATAGACTACTAGTTTTTTCTTAACTCTTAGTTATACTGCCAAAATTTGGAGTAATAAGGAGAGTGAAATTGAAATAGAAAAGCCTGACCTGATGGTGGATTTATCAAGCATTGATCACAAAGAAATTTGCAATAGGTGATGTATTCTGAATATTGGTAATGATGTTTACTCGGTACGCGCATTCAACAATTGATACCTCAAATAATGAAAAGGTTTATACTTCAAGTTATAACCTTTTCTAGTAGGGCAAATGTTATCATAAACAGTATTTACAAGTTCTTATAACGAGAGAAACTGGCAACCGAGTGAGGCCTACTTACAGCGGGGTAGGAAGGAGAGATATCATAACTGTCTAGCAGGCAATTGGTCAAAGGATCGGGTTCACTTGTCCTTTTAACAAGCTTTAGTGTGACGCTACGCATGACAAGGCTCACAGACGATGCTGGCGAAACGTATGGGAAGGTAACATATGCATAGTCCGACGCTGGAACTTATCATGGATACTATGGTCTCCGGACGAAGTGCGTTCCTTTAGGCCTTACTGACAATACGACCAAGTTGCGAAAACTGGGTCGAACAACTTCTTGAGAATAATGGCGTGATCTGTGCTAAAGGCCAAAGAAGAACCTGGACGTTGAAGGCAATGGAAATGAAAATCTCACTAATCCAGCAACACCATTGCTCTTCATAAGGCCGGAGAACAAGGTATCTAGAAACAATAAGCTATAATTTCCTCCCTTTGCTCTATTTTGTAAAGTATAGGTTCTTGTTCTGATGATGCCTACCACGGCGGCTTGGCACAGTTTCACTGGGGTCACAGGACGGTGAACCGAGAACTTATTTGCCCAATGCAACAGTCTTAACTAAGCGGCAATCATCCTTCGGTTTCCGGTGAGACCACACCACGAATTCTTTCCAATCAACTTTTCCTTCGAGATGGAAAGTCATGTCACAATGGATATGGGAAGACTTAATAGCAGGGAAATAGGATCACTCACCTACTACTATAGTTCGCCCTCATTCGCCCCGGCTGAACGGGTGAACCAGTTTGTTCTAGGCTCGTGACGTTGGCATCACCACCACCATTACCTAAAAAAGGATCGCTGATGCGCTGAGGGATAGCACAAATTGTAAAAGGAAACGGTATAGAGAATTAGTAGTGCAGGTAAGACTAAAATGAGATTGTCTCATATATTATTAAGTTTAAGTTGCCTGAAGCAGTATTGAGTTAAATAAGACTATGTTGCAAGGAAGAATAAAATGTTAAAAACCATCTTACTGTTAATTTTATCAAGATTCCTATGTGAATTAAGCAATAGCAGGGTATTGGTTCTAAAAAACTTTCTAACATAATTCATAAATGTCTAGTGCTAGTTTTATACAACGACGCTCTTAGCCCACATCGTAAACTTAGACTTTTAGTCTCCTTTCTTGGTTTAATGTTTTTAGTGACTGTTCTTAAACGATTGCTTCTGGCTCTGATTCTGTCCGTCACAGGACGGATGAAAGCTCAGTAGGGATTCATAAAAATCGTAGGACGGTAAGCCGAAGTCCCTTTCGCACAATCCGACAGTCAAAAGTCCAAGGCGATCCTCCTTCGGTATCCAGTGCTGCCAAGTTACAACTCCCTTCTATTGGCCATTTTAAATAAAATGAAAGGCATGTCAGCCATGTCCAAAACAGGTGCAAACGAAACCAAGTGCACAAATAAGCATCACGATATTTAGGATGCAATTAATTTTGGTGGAGAAACAGCGATTCGGATAAAACTCCAGTCACTTCACACATTATTGGCAGCCAATTCATTTATCCACAAATATATAGAAACAGCACAGATTCATCGGAGTCGGACAACGGCTCACCGGGGATTTACTATCACAATCCAATAGCCACTACTTTGAGGAAATCCTAATTGTGTTTCCAAGAGAGTAAAATTTCCCTTCGAGATAAAACTTCCGGTGATATGAATATATTAAAGGATTCTTCGAAACCCAAATTTCCTTTATATATACGGCAACAATCCGCAACACTGCTCCGGGGACCAGTGGATTATAGGATAGATATTAATTTTAAGGTATGTGACTTATGCAAGGTCTACTGATAGTTTAAAGACATAATAATTCGGCATATAGTAATTTTGTCGAATGCACTAGCAAAAGTTTGCCTAATCGACAATCCTACTATGATTGAGAATTGAGAGAGACCTGGCAGCCCTAAATGTCAAAGATGACCTGTGACATTCCTATTAGCCTTATGACGATCGTTGTCTTCTTTCCCCTTAACCAATGAACTATACCCTGGTAATCCTGTTCTAACTTTGATTAGATGTATAGTATCAATGCATATTTTCCTTTATACTTTACTTCCTCATGTATCAGATGAGCTAAAGGTAAAGACAATTCCTAAGTAGATTGACAGGCAACGAAGCCTATCAGATCCAGTTTTATTAGCTACCCAGAGAAAAGAGCTGCTCTTTCTGCCCCTTCAAATTCGTTAGTTAAGGAAATTTTTGACCATTACTACTCATCGGCTAAGAAACTTAGCCAGGGAGAACAACCAAGGGTATTTAATGTCACTCACAAATGGGATACATATATCATTGAGTAATGCAATTTAACAATATACTGAAGCGGTATTGAAAAAGTTTTAGAAGAGC